CAAAATAAATAGAAAAATAAAAAACAATTAGGGAATCCAAACCACGTGACTTTTGCCAACCAGCCGGCATTTTGAAATTTTTATGAGGTTAGAATACGGGTTGTTACATGTCAACGATGTCAGAAAAGTGTCAGATTTGAGTACTCGCTACGTGTATTGATAAAGCCTAGTACTCGTAACCGCGAAATTCGCCCTTTTTTGACATTGCTTCGACAATTTGACGTTTGATTCACGCATAAGTACTAATAAGCCTATCTTGTCAAAAAAAAATCATATTTTTTTTTTGTTTATTGTTTGCCAACACCAGACGCCATTTGGACAGGTCGTTGGATTGCCTAATTCTGTTGTACAATAATTATTCTAACCTAACATATACAGGGTGTCCATGTAGTGCGATATTGCACAATATCTACTTACAGGGTGATGCAAGAAAAAAAAATTAAATTACAAAGTTGTTTGATACTCTAATATGCATTAGTTATAAAAAAAAAATTAATATACAGGGTATATTTCATGGAATCTGCTCAAAATTTTACGTAGAATCCAAATATGCAATCACATACAGGGTGTTTCATTTAAAATAACACAGTTCTGTCGCATACCCCATAAACAGAGCACCCTGTATATTCAAAAATATTTTTAACTAATGCATATTAGAGTATCAAACAACTGTGTAATTTAATTTTTTTTTCCTGCATCACCCTGTAAGGAGATATCGTCCGATTATCGCACTAAGTGGACACCCTGTATAAAAAAACAGAAACGTACTAGGTACTAGGTACCTAACCTTACATTTATGGCCTACTTCCTACTCCAACTCATCATTTGATTCTTCGGAAGTTAAAAATGTGGATTCCGTAAAATTTAGACAATCAACTGGCGGACTCCAGCTGTCAATGCCAAATTTATCGTATAATTAAATGTGCTGATTTTCAGTTGAAATGTGCTGATGTGCTGGTAAAGGAGCAATTGTGCTGATTTCAGCACAATTGTGCTGGTAAGAACAACCCTGTTCCTCTTCCCCTTTCGAAGCCCCTTGTATGATCGACCTAATGCTCCGTCGTAGAACATTTTGTAATGCTTTTCCTGACATCTGAATATTTGATGGTAATTTGTATTGTCAGGGTTTCTAAAATTGTATTATTACAAGTGCGTTTATGAACATGATTATAATAACGAGTGTGAAGGATTAGAACGACGAGGTCGTAGAGCGAGTCGTTCTAATCACACGAGTTTTGTAGTCATGTTTAAACGCACGTGTGATGTACAACGTTTTATCTACAAAGCGAACAATAAGTATGTTTTGCCAATTATTTTCGTTTATTAGTAGTTGTCTACCTTCATTTTACCTTTACAGGTTTAACTTTGACATTTATCAAATCACCAAAAATAGTTGTGTTATAGAGTCATAACCTAGTCTATAACACCGCACTAGTTGTGTTATGAATTCATAACCTAGTCCATAACACCACTAGTTGTGTTATGAATCTCATGACAGAACTCAAATACTAGAAAAATAATTATGTAAAAACGTCATAACCAAACGCTTGTAGATAAAATTATATAACGCACTACGTTTTATGTCAAGAGGTGACAAAATGTATTGTGTGTGTGATCATATTCTTATAAAATTAATCAAATAATTATCTAGATAGAAGTTGTTCCAGACAGTTGAAAGTAGTTGATAAGGGTTTCAATTATTTTAATAATTTATTTATGGATTTCCCGCATCAAATTTTATAACCAATGAACTATAGCTAAAAACTGGAATGCGCACACATTGCCATATATGCCAAAAAAATGAAGCCATGAAAGACAGATGCCACAAGGGGGAATGTTGTTTTTTTCTGTTGCTCGCTGACATATTATGACGTTTTCGAAAGTTTTATCATATTTCCCTTCACAGGTTTCATCAATTGGAATACGTGTTGGAAGCAATTTTCGCCATTTAACATAATGAGTGCGACAAAAACAGGTATCCCCTCCGCAGCAGCCGCACTAGGCTTCACGTTCGTCCTTATGTGTTAGCATTCCAGTTTTTGGTTATAGTTCATTGGTTATAACTAACAATATAGTTACAATACAGTAACTAAGTACCAAATAATACAATACAATATCCTATCCCATCCTATTCTCTACCTATTCTTTCAATTTGATTTAAGCACATTCTTTTACTTATGCCTAATATTTCTATATTATTGTGATTTATCACAGACATACACCTATCAATTGGTGAGTTAAGGTCATAGTTTGTTCTATGATAATTTATGCCAAACAGATAATTGTAATACGTAACCGCCTTATACTTACTGAATTAGTTGTTATAATTCTGAACATGAAATTTGGGAGTTAATAATATCATACAATATGCAAAAATCAGCTTTCAGACGTCTATATTCTGATAATTCCATATCCGCATCACAGTTCTTACTTTATTATAATTGTGATCAACTATATTTATATTTAGTCTTACTGAACAGTATTTAAGTAATCTATTTTGAATTCTCTAGAGCGAACTATACTTGTATTCACACATTTAAGTGAGTTTACACCGAAGAATTTACAGCTCCTCAGAACAAAACCCAACATTTTGGACGATTTTACAATAGGGTACTTGCATGGAAAATTAAATTGATTATTGTTTATTGCAAACTGTGGGAAATCGAAAAAAACGATACGTGTTTTTTTATTTTGTCCAAATATGATTATTTCGAAAGTTAAACAAATATTGAGTTTTGTATATATAGATATAATGAGCATGTGCGACGTCACAACGTATTATAAGTTATGACGTCAGAAGGACATTTCAAAGCGTTGTATCTCCGTCAATTTTTGACTAACAAGAAAAAAAAAAAACACGTGTTGACTTATTTTTCATGGACTATCGAAATCAGCAATAAAAAAATTTGATGCAAGGGGCCTATTACATTATTAATATGTTCCATAAACCTTAAACTCTCATCAAATACTATACCCAGGTCGGTTACTTTACTCACATATTTTATTGGCAGATTATTGATAGAACACATAAAATCGAGTTTGCTTCTTATTTTATGAAAACATATATGAAAGCATTTGTTGACATTGAGTTTTAACTTATTAATAACGCATCACTTGAAGAGACTATTTAGGACTTCCTGTAATAATTGTTCATCACATGCATTAGACACAACTTTATACAATTTTAAATAATCAGCAAACAGCAAAGGTATACTCTATTTGAAACATGTTACTAAATCATTAACAAACAGGTTAAAAAGCAGAGGTGAGCAGTGACCACCGTGTGGAACTGCAGATGATGCTAATATGATGTCAGACTTACAATGACCAATTTTAACTCTCTGTATTCTGTCAGAAAAGAAACTACATAACCACTTAACCAAATGTGTATTAAAGTCTATGTCTAACAGTTTTTGTATCAATAGTCCATGGTCAACGCTGCCTACGAAAAATCGGTATAAACAACATTAACCTGTGGCCTATCTTCCAATGCACTCAAGAGTGACGTCTGGTGGGATAGCAGATTTATTACAGTGGACTTTCCTTTAATAAACTCATGCTGTGCTTCATTAATCAGACCTTTACATGCAAATGTTAACTGATCGCAAACCCAGTTTATCAAACAATTTTGGTATTGCAGATTGTGTACAGATACTACGATAGTTTTGCATATTATATCTATCGCCGTTTTTGAAGATGGGTTTTAAGTAGCTTTGTTTCCAGTAATCTGGATAAGTCTCACATTTTAGTCACTGATTAAACAACAAAAAAAGAGGATTAGTGATTGTACAGTGTGGTCATTTTATCTTGATAACATTTCAACCTGTCCATAATTTCTTTATTTTTGAAGTTATTTAAATAAATAAAAAAACATACTGTAGGACGTCATGTAAATATCATCTATCATTTAGATATGTTTAACTTAAATAATCAAATTTAAAATTTAGATAACATTATTCATTAGTCATTAGATAAGCCTACAAATTTTCGGTAGGTAGTTGAAGGACATGTGTTGGTTTAAACTAGACAAATATCGGTTCTGATTCAGATTTATCCGAAACAAAAGTTATCTAGCTTGCGTAGGCAATATGGACAAGAGGTTTCTACTTGTCAGGCATTAAACAGCAATGTGGTACATACGCAAAGAACTTCTGGCGAAAATTGATGATCCTCTAATAATCAACTGGGAAGACAAAAAGAGGTTTGGTTTACCACCCAGGAGAAAAACTTTCCAGGGAATATTTTCATAGATTTATAACCGGCAACTAGAGGAAATTGAGACCTTTATTGTTAGCCATTATAAACTAGCATTTAATACTGGTTTTACCTTGTTTAGTAACAGTTATCAACTGGATATATTATGGAGTTGAAATCTTACAGTAAGTTGGTAGATATGAATCGTGGGCTGGGAGACAGCCTAAAATAACTAATTATATAAGACTTTTAAATAATCAAATATTATTTTCGTATATTGATTTAATCTCCAAAAAAATGAAAATGAATCCATTTATTGCGTCTAATGGTTGAGCCCAGTAGGTACTTGATTGATAATGTTTCAAGTAAACACTTAAAAATTTAATAATTTAATTATTATTTTCATTTATTTATATAACAAAGTAGGTATTTTTTTCAAGCCCCAAATATCTATCTAGAAAACCTTCAAAAAAATTACTCAGTAATGAACTAAATATAATTACCGTTGTATACCAGCACGCAATTCACCATCCACAAAACTAAAATAAATTAGAATCGTACCTCAATAAATTTCGCTGTGCTAATTGAAATCCTTCGAGTCCTCAACCCGATCTATTTTAGGGCCCTTTTCCGTTCACCTCGACCCTTTTTCGTTACGTCATAAGGGTTGCATTTCCTTGGTGCCTTCGCGCGATAGACACTGAGCCCCAAATACCTATAAATACAACCCCGGCATGATGGGAAAAAGAAACTGTTGCATAATTTCAACCCCCGCGTTCGGCTTGGCGTTAGTCTGCTCTCAGAGTTTGATGGGAGTTTTCCCAGGAAGGGAAACTCCGGAATTTGAGTTTATATTGTGCCAAATATTTGCTAGGTTTTTTTTTTCGTGATGGCCTGAAGGGGTGAGTTTTAGAGGTTTGTTGCTTGTGTTGCGTGGGAAATTTTTGTTTTTCTTGGGTTTATTGCGTTCATGCAATAATAGACCTTGTGAAAGTTTGTAGTGAAGTATAGCATCCGGGCAAATAAAAACTTGTGAAAGTTTTTAAGCAAGTTTCAATACATTCTATAAATAGTCTTGTTCAACCTTTTTTCTGGATATTTTAAAGACTTTTTTCTACCACTAACAACTTGAGAAATAGTCATTATTCAATTTATTTTTCTAGGAAAAATTTGAATTTCTCGCGCTAGATGAATAATGATGTCATGACGTCATGACGCAAGGATATTTCTAGGTTTCTATTGGTTCAAAACTAGCAGTAGTAAAAAAAAATCTATATATTCCTGGTAGAGAAAGTCATTAACTCTGTTCCAACAGATATGAAAACCGTTCCAGAACCAGTATTTCCAGTTGCCCACTTATTTTTTAACAAGTTGAATGTTTATCCTAATTGACGAAATGCATTTACTGGAAATTACCGTTCTAGAACGGTTCTCTTGCTTGTTGGGAGAGAACTTATTATACATATACCTTGCGCATTATGAAAGCGCTCGGTATATAATGATCAACTTTTCTTCCTAGGTATAAATTATAGTATTGAATTTTTTAAAAACTTCAAATTTTACTTAAAACATTCTTTTTTCATTGAGAAATTCCTAGTTCCGTTGGAACATTCCACAAGATGTTTCTAGTTTCTTTTTCAAATATCTCCTCATGAATGACTAAAATTATCCTAAGTTGGCAGTGGAGTCATCGTCATTACCTATTTTTTGTTCCTGAGTCAGAGTGTCTTTCCAAACGCTTATAGATATATCTTTCCAAACTGATCAGCTAGAGAAATCATGTGTAGGTTTTTACGCTTTTTCCATAATAATGATGATTGAATTGATGATTGCCTAATAATATTTTTATATAAAATACTTTACCCCTAAAATCAACCTAAGGCAATTCTTACCCAATTCATTAGAATTACTTGAAACTCACTTCATCAATAACAAAATTAAGTTCCAGATACATTTTTAAATAGCCCACAAAGTTATTTGAACAATTTATTTTAACCGGCACACGACAAGTTTATCGGAATACTGCAGTAGCATAATTTAGATTTAAATTTAATAAAATAGTAATTAATTTTGGCTACAAGGAAACTAAATGGCAATAATCCAAAACTGTCTAGGGCTTTAAAAGTGTTCGGAATAATTTATAATTAGAATTAAAAGCTTGAATTATCAATTTTTAGGTTTCCAAGGTGACATCTGTTAAACTCCAAAACTGCCACATTACTCTTGTCATTTCACCCAACACACATCACAACATGATCAAAGAAAATCCGAAATCAAAAAAAGATGTTCGACAACAAAAAAACGAAAATGAAGAAGAACCTGCTGATTTGAAAAAAAAATTGGATCACAAAGTCAGCAGATTGGTAGCCAGTGCTCCTACGTCACCTAAATTAGCCCTCGAACCCACAGAAAATCCACAAGCAATCGAAAAATGCCCTAGAAGATCTAAATCGTGTCTGGACGGGTCTAAAATACGAGCCGCCATCAGCAGCGAACGTTTGGCGCAGTTAAGGAAAAATGTGGAAGGCGCTATGAGAGAACATAAAATTTTTAGCATCAAAGGCAAGAAGTTTATACCCTCGGAGTTTTTTAACTAGATTAAGTAGATTTCAACTGAAAATTTTAGGAGGTTGGCCTGTTATTCGCAGAGAATTGCTTAAAAGAAACTGGATAGAAAAATACGAGCCTACTACTAAACAAAGATTTATGAATCCAGATGATGTCACTAGCAATTTGCCAGCTAAACAAGAATGGGAATCGCCTACTACTTATGTGGAAAAATGTGAAAAAACTGGTAAGAATTCTTTATTTTATAACAAACTATTCGTTTATTTATGTTTTTTTTTTGTAATTATAATTAAAGCAATAATGATTGTGAAAGCTTTCAATGCCCATAACATAAATGTTTGATTGCCTATTGCCTTATTTTTAGATAATGTACGGACATATTTCCTCTCCATATACTTCCAATTGTTTCGGTTTTAGTATTGTTTTCCCGCTACCTCTTGAATCAAGAGTTTTCTTTGATAAGGTTGTATCAAACTTTCTCCCACTTCTAATTATTTCAACCAAATCATCAAATTCACAAAAGATATTTGAAAGAAATGATTTCTGTCATTTGGAATTATCGTTTTTTCTTAGTCGTTAATGGTAATATTTTTGCGATATTAGTAGATATGTTTTTATGGGAAACTTTCGATTTCTTTTGGAACAAATACCAGTAGGTACCAATAAAGTACCTACTTTGAATAGTATCATCTACCACCAATTCTCACAGATCAAGACAAAAGCCTAATTCTATATAGTTCAAATCAGAACAATTTCAGCTGTTCAAAACAGTTCTTCAATTTAGTTTTGGCTGCTATTAGTAAGCAACTTATGTGAATTTTGATCTGTTCGACTATTTCACCCTGACTAGAATCCAAACATTAGCTTTAGATTGATCCTCTAAGAACCTTCAATCCACTACCATTGGCTGGATAATGGGCTGTTTCTCCTCTCGTTCTTTCTTATGCGATAGGTCATTTTTTCTTATGCCGATCTATTTCTTCAATATCTTCTATTCGTCGTCCGCACTACTTTGTAGAACCACACTAAGGCCTAGTTCTTTCACTGGTCCACTTCAATCTTTTTCATTTCTGCATGATGGTTTCATGTTAACTCCATGTGTGCCGAATGAACTTCAAGACTTAATAAGATAAGATAGATTTTTATCTTATTATTTATTTATTGGTTACATGTCATTTGTTTCCCAGAGTAATAGTTTTGCTTCGCAGCACGTGTCTAATCTAAACTTTCTCTGTAGGTTCTCAATGGGATCTTTCTATTCTTTCTTGGGTTTTTGAGGATCGAGTTCCAAATTTGGTTAGGTTTTGGTGTTTCTTCTTTTCTGTTGAAGTTCTCCGTATGTTTTTGGATTTTTATAGCTTCACGTACAAGACGATTGTGGTATCCGGAAGTCGATGCAAGAAGCCTGACCTTACCAAATAGTATTTCGTGATTCCCTTCACTAAGCGCATCTGCAGTTTCTTTTGTGCTCGTTGATCCTGGTTCTCATGGATCTTTTTGTTGTTCCTACGTATACCTTACCACATATGCATGGTATACGATAAACTCCAGCGCTTGACAGTGGGTTGCTCTTATTCTTGGCTGATCTGATTGATTGCTGTATTTTCCTTGTTGGCTTGAAGATCGTTTTTATGTCGTGTTTCTTCAAGACTTTCCTCATCCTGTCACCCGAGAAACGAAAGGCAGATATGCATTAGCCACCACTGGTTGTTCATCCACTTTTTGTGGTGTGGCCGTTTTGGGTTAAGAACTGAAGACTACAACCGAAAATTCAGGAACTCCTTGATCCATCTATACCTAACGAAAGCTAAAGAAGGATCCCACCCAAGCCATACTCCGGAACACCACACTGATAAAAAGGATATCTTGGTTAAAAGCAAATCGAAATTGGATCAAGATCGCCGTGGCTTTGTATATATTCAAATGAATCGTTTCTTAATCCAAGACAGCCATAATCTTGGAATCCCATTACATAAATTTAAGGATCGACTCTTAATTTAAAATCACCACAATTGATGCGTATGCTTAGTTAATATCTTATTTCAAAGCACCATTCCTTTAATTTAAGATAACATGTGTCTAGACCAAAATCAATACTCTTGGATTAAAGATTTTGAATATTTTATCGTCTTTCATTTAAAGTTTTATTTCCTTGATTCAAGAAATGCGATCTTAAATCAAATACCTGGGGTGGGACTCCGTGTCATGTAAAATTCGACACATCGAAAAATATCGAATGCCGCACTGCCTAGAATCCTGTCGATATGTAGAATTCTATATGACACGGAGTCCCTGGGCTGGTTACTTTTATTTGAGTACCAGTGACATTCGTTGAAAGTTTTTTTTTTTTTTTTTTAAATATCATGATTCTTTTGTTTCAAGATCTTGTTGCCTCAAAACAAGATAATGATTTCCTTAATTCAAGAAATAATTATCTTCAATCAAATATCCCGTTACTTCTATTTAATATCCAGTATACAGGGTGTCCGGAAGTACCTACATGGGGAATAATGGGAATTTTAGTAACCATTGAAAATACAGGGTGGACCAAATGGGAAAAAAGTCGTGCAATCATTTGCCTAGAAAATAATCTGCCACTGCAACTTCTAGGTTTTGAAGTTGATGACAGATTATTTGTATAGGCACTTGATTGAGCCAACTGTTTCCCCATTTGGCCCACTCTGTATCTTCAATGGTTTCCAAAATAGCCATTATTCTACATGTAGGTAGGTACATCAAGTTATTCCAGACACCCTTTATTAGAACAATAATGTAAGTTTTGGGTTATTTTTCCTCGGCTAAAGTTCGGATAAGTTTATTCCTCAGTTGTACTGACATAAGCTTAATTTTTTTTACTATACACATACAAATATTGTTCAAAAATGCTGGATTTTAAATAGATGCAATTGAGTTGTAGATTCCAGAGGAGGTATGTTCTGGGCTAAAGAAAAGCATTATTGAAAATGAAATTGTATTTTATTCAATAAGGCACTGCAACTACAATATTACTTACTTGTAGATATAGATAAAACGAACAAAAATAGTAACGTTTATAAAAGTGAGCAACCTAGTCAAAGTCTAATAGCAAACCATCAAAAACAACACAACAAAGCTTAAAGCATTTCCCCATGTTGATGGTGAAAATCAAAATATTTTTTCTTTGTCAAAACTAATGGATACTACTGGTAACATCCGATATATCATCAATTTTCTGTGCTGAAAAAGAAAAATAATTGTTTAATTAAGGTTTATGGAAATAACATGTAATAGAAAATTTCACTGGAACCTTTTTTAAAACAAAAAATGGGAAAAAAAAGAAGAAGCGGTACTATGCGATCATGTAGCATGTAGGTAAGTTATATTAACTAATGAAACTATTGTTCAAAACTGAAGAAGAAACTTAAAAAAAAAAACATGGCTTCAATTGCGCACAACAGAATATGGCTTAAAAAGCGGGAAACATAATAGAAATGTACGAATTTCTTTCAAGACTTTCGCATATTCGATTGAAAAGAATTATTCTTAAATCAAAGCACTTGGTATTTAAGGAAGTACAACTGTCCTTCATACAAGGACATAAATACTCCTTTCAAAATATTATACTTAGATTAAATACATGGTACTTAAATGAAGATGACCCTTGCTTCTCCATGCACAGCGAAGAGAAGGAACGCCATTATGGAATAAAAAGGCTTTTATCTAATTATAATTATTGAATTTCAATATAAAAATAAATAGGTAGGTACCTAAACATTTTAAGATACAACGCAAAAGCTACGAAATAATCTTGGCCCTGTAATAAAATTATGCTAGACAACAACCTACCTTCAAATATGGGTAACAAGTGTCCTAGTTTCGCTTTGTCCAGAAAACTACTGACCTGATGCTGGTTTTCGTCCATTTTTGGTTTAATCTAGGTATTCAATGAGAATAAATTAACAGTAGTGTACACTAAGGTGTACACTTTTCCCACTCGACTGTCTAAACACATCCAAAAATCCTCCTCAAAAAAAAACCTGTCGTACCTACTGCATGTGCGTTCTAGAAACGAGGACGACACGGCCAAAGTCACCACCACAAAGGACACTTTCTGCCTCGCGTCTCGCATCCCATGGAAAATTGGGAAGGGATATCCGACCATAGGATTCAAGCCAAGGATTGGGTTTTTGAATCAAGGTATATTATCTTAGTTGAAGATTACCTATTGCATTATAGGTTTCTTTTAATCAAATGCCTGTGTACTTGGACTAAAATATACTATGTTGGGTTATTATTTGATTTTGTTTCAAGGAAACTAACTCACGGCTTGTTTCCTTCAGTTAAATGACTGAGGTCTTGAACCAAAATACAATATCTTGGTTCCAGATCACTACTTAACTATGTTTTTCAGTTGAAGAAATCATCCTTGAAATAAGAAATTTTGAAAGCAAGAGAATTCATGAACATTATCAAAGCCAAGAAAAATCTTAATGCAAGAGTTCGTTATTTTTAAAAGAGGAAATTTCCTTCATTTGAGATAATATTATTCCAAGAGAATTAATTATCTCTTTTCAAGATATCCTTTTTATCAGTGCAACAAACTGATTAGCTCATCTACCCTAACAGACACGGTTAAGAAAGGCATCATAAAAACGCAAGTTGTTTTACCACGACTCTACAGCCTACCCAAAATTCATAGACCAGAAGTCTCACCAAGACCCATAGTGAGTGCACCTGGAGCACCAACGTACAACCTATAGCGAAACATCTTGCACCGCTTCTTCAACCGCATGTAGGAAAAACTAACTCTTAAGGGCCCCACAGATTGCGTTTTTGTTGGACGGATTTGTTCGACGAGCAAATCTGGTCGAGCAAAAACGACGCAAAACCGAAGTGTGTGTGCCAAAAATTGTCATTTTTGCTGGCATACAAAACCGATGCAAATATCTGGCTTCACCTGATTTTGTCCGTCGGATATGTTCGATATGTCAACAAATCTGAAGTGTGTGGGCTACGAATTTTAGAAACGACGGTTTTGTGTGGTGGGTAGTGCGTAGCTACATAATTTTACATTATTGAAATTAAAAAAAAATAAAAGCTTTCCAACATGACTGATGTTCGCCAAACTAAACCGAGGTGTGTGTGCAACTGCGATCCGTCGTTTTTGCTCGACCAGATTTGCTCGTCGAACAAAACCGTCAAACAAAAACCCAGTCTGTGAGGGCCTTTACGTCAAGGCCTCCACTC